AATAAAAAAAAAATTTTGAATTTACTTACTTGTAGCCGGAGTTAGAGGCGGTCGGATACTTATGACCGCTACTGTAATTGTAGGTATTTGCTATTGATAAATCAACTGGGTGATCGAATAAGTTAATCACAAATGGTAAAGGTGGATTGTCAAAGGAAGAAATCGAGCGTATGGGCATGTAATCAAAATTCCGAAATTTTATAATCATATATTTATGCATTAATATTTTACTAACAAAAATCTGTGTAATAATAGTCGCCGCAAGTGAGAAATATCGTGAAGATGATAAGAAAGTCACACAAAGAATACTTGCATAAAATGAATTAGATAGTTATGCATTTAACTTATGTAACACACTCGATGTAAGTTTTGTTTAATATTTATATTATGATATATCATATGTTTAAAACCAAACCATCTTTATTCGATAGGATGAAAATTTTCCTATTAATAAACTTAAAGATGCAATTCAAAAATCTATTACATGGCTTGAAAAAAACCAAGAAGCGAGTAAAGAGGAATATGATTATAAACAAGAATCACTCGAAAAACTAGCCAACCCAATAATGAGGCTTCTTCACGGTTTCAGTCCAGATGGCTTCCCAGATGATTATGATTAATTTTCATTTTTTTATAAATTAGTAACGATAGCCTTTATAATAGTTAGTGACAATCATGATTTATAATTTTAGTTGTTAGAGATTGGAAATAATAAAAAATAAAAACTAAATAGTAAAAATTAAACAGCAACCCTGAACAAAAATCAAGTTGAATATAAATAATACAAAATTATCTATAAATTGTATAATTTATTAGCATTATGTCTTGATAGGTTTGCACTCCATAATTTACGTTATTAAACTCCAGTTATTCAGAAAGGAATTCACTGATGCCATTTTTTTCTATAATTTATAGTTTATCCCATTGTCCTTTAGCTGTATGGTAGTCAATTGTAATTTTCTAAGGTTCATCTGCATTTCTCTTATGAAACGTCCAGCCTTCGTTACTCAAGATTTTTTCATAATTTGCCAATAAACTTTCCTTAATCTCTGTAATATATTTAAATAGCTCAATACCTAGGTTTTAATTATCACCTTGAAGAGAATAGGGGTATTTGGCAGATTTGTTTTATCTGGATGAAAATACAACACGAGATTTCGGTATCGTTTATTAACTTCATCTTGACAGAGCATTATTAAACAAGATATCTTCTTTACAAGGAGAGTTCATCACATCCTGTATAATATCTATTCTATTTAGATATGCTATTTATAC